GGCGGGTCCTTTTGGTTTGTTTGAAGAAGCGACTAAAAAAGGATAAATAATTCGTCTCTACCATGAAGAGAGTTATCGATTTAATGACAAAATTAATGAGATTGATGCGTTGTTGAATTAAATTATCTCTTGGAAATAGTTCAATGATAAGATGGACATGAATATTAGCAAGTAAGTCTTTAACATCGTAAATGACCATAATGCTTTTTTCAGAAGAATTAATTTGTTTCAGCTCATTGCAAAACTTCTGGGATATTTTGGCAAAACACGGATTTCCTCCACTTGTTAGATCTGAGTATGTTTTGCAATCTATTTTGAGACTTCTGTGAAAAGGCAGTCAAAGTAGAGCCAACAGGTCAGATGGGAATATTAGATGTATGTATTTTGAGTAAGCGATTAAAGTATAAATCAGCGGGCTATTTTCGTGACCCATGGTTACGAAAGCCAAAAGTTGAAGAAAGACATAAAGGTTTTGCAAACGGTCGACGCCGGTAACATCAACAGAATTGAAAGCACTTGATTTGGGTCGAAATCGAAACTTCTTTGAAGAAAATTTTAATTTCAAAAAATTTTATCTTCATATACAGAGGGTTTCAACTTTGACCTCTTGTTTGACCAGAGTAAAGTTATAATGCTAATGTAGCTATATTACCTCTACACTTCTGAAAGCTGTACAGATATTAAATTTTATTATTATTTTCCTCTTCGCAAACATTCCTCTTGTTCTGTTGCATTGCGTTACATTGCTTATTTTCATTAAAAGTAGTAAGCCGATCGACTGACGTTTTTTGTGCATTTGCCAATTGTCATTCGAGGCTTCAAAGCAAACGCTAAAATCTTTATCCATTTAGCTGTTGTTTTTGTTATCGTCATGTAAAGTACCAGGGTCAAGGACAGAATAACCCAGATTAATGTTGTTTTCCCTTATGTCTCATTTATTTAGCTGACGACGTAAGTTCTATCTTCAAACCAAGTACTGCTATCGCGTATGTACATGTGTTTCATTTCTAGATTGCTACGAACCAGCATTAGTCCAAATATTGTCAATGCCGAGGGTTCGTCTTTGCTTCACGCCGCAGTCGCCTACAATCAGCTGCACATCATTTCTTACCTGCTGCACCGCGGGGCTCATATGACGTGCAAAGACGCGAAGGGATGCACCCCACTGCACGTTTCTTGTCTGAACGGATTCGTGAAAGCTACCGAAATTCTTCTCAGTCACCCGGACAGCCAGAAAGTCATCAACGTCCGAAATCAGGCGCAGGAAACTGCTCTTCACATATCTTCTCAGCGCGGTTATGCGGCGATAGTCGATCTTCTGTTAAGGGTAATATACGGTAAAGTTTTGTTACTCATAAGAGTTATCTGATTGCAGTACTTGCAACATTACGTGAATATCAGATGGCTCTGAACGTTGTTCTTTTTTTGTTGGATCATGGTGGCACAATGTTAAGACATCGGCTTCGAACTTTACAGGTGTCAGGTTCGATTCCAGAAAAAAAACAAAATTTTCTTAACCCCTAATTTTTTGAGCATGCAGTTCATCTTACGTTACCGGTAGCAAATCGTTGACTTGGAAGTGAAACGGACATCATGCTGCTTTGATGTGATC